GAGGACTTCTGCCCGCACGTGGGCGCGCCGGGCGCGGGGGCGCAGTGCCAGCGCTGCGACGCCGCCGACCCCGAGCGCCACCACAACGCCTCCTACCTCACCGACTTCCACAGCCAGGACGACAGCACCTGGTGGCAGAGCCCGTCCATGCTCTTCGGCGTGCAGTACCCCACCTCGGTCAACATCACCCTCCGCCTGGGTAAGCGCGGGCCGGGCAGCGCCCCCGGCTCGTCCCCTCTTCCCACCCCACGGCGAGGCAGCGCCAGGAGGCGCGGCTGCTGCGGGCCCTGGGTTGGCTGCAGGACCCAGCTCTGGGGCCCTCAGGGACGGGGCCTGTGCCCCCCAGTAGCTGGACGGATAGACTGATGGTGCCCTTTGGGGCTGGGAGGGGCAGGAATCCTCCTGGGAGCCCTTTACAGAGCGGTGGATCTGCGTGCAAGACAATGCCCTGGAATGGTTGTCCATCCTAGACCCAGAGGGGTCGTGGGGGAGGTGGGGAGGTGACCCACCGGGGGTGAACTAGGCCCCCACCAGGGCAGGAGCGCCTAATCCTGGGTCGTCTGGTCGACCTCGGGGCTCAGTGACTCCCTGAGGCTGTGCGCGGCCCTGGGTGTGTTCTTGGGGAGCCCCGGCGTTCATCACGGGGAGGTTTAGCCCTCTGAGCAGCCGCCAGGCTTCATGCTGCTGTCGGGTAGCTGGACCCGACGGCATGGCCTCTCTGCTCTGCTCGTGCCTCCCTCCACCGGCACCACAGCAAGGGGCGGAAGCCCTTAGATCCCTGAGGATCAGAGTCCCAGGTCTGCCCTCGGTCCTTCACTCCCGCCCCGCCCCCATTGGGGGGATGGGAATGCCCTCTCCCCGCTCCAAGTCCGGCTGATCCTGGTTCTCTTGGGGCTCCTACGTGGGCCGGGCGCTGAGCCAGGCGTCTCCTCTGTGGCAGCCCACACAGCCGTTTCAGGAGGGGGTGTTTCAATCCACACTCCCGTGTCTGTGGGTTCAAAATCTCCCAAAGCTTTGACAACTCTAAGTATTTGTAGAACTCATTTTGGCTGCTAAAGCTGACTGCAGGCTACTTATAGACCTTGTTTATCCTAGTTAGAGTGACTTTTTGTACGTTTTGCTACTGAAATCTCGTTTGAGTAGAGCCTGTGGCCCCAGACCCCGCTAGAGGTGTTAACAAAATTCACGGGATAAGGACTGCATCATCTCCCTACACTCTGGAAAGTTCTGAATTCCAGAACACTTCTGGAGCCAAGCAGGTTGGATAAGGGACTATGAGACTGTATCCCCATTTTTCAGATGAGAAAATTGAGGCTCAGAGAGGTTAAGTGTTTGCCCAAAGACACACAGCTGCTAAATGACAGTCTGGATATGGACAGCTGTGTATATCCAAGGTCAGAGCATAAAATCCTTGACATCGATGGAGTTGGCTCTACCCAGTCCTGGGTGACAGTGCCTTGGGGATGGCTGGGAAGTGACATTTAAGTGAGATGGGGGACACTTAGCCCCCTCAGCAGAGCAGGCATGTACCAGCTGCCACCCCCCAAAGCTCAGTTTCCTGGGGCCTCGTCACCTCCCTTGGTCTGTCGGGACCGCTAGGTGGGGCTTCTGGATGGGGCGGGGTCTCTACCCAGGCGGGCGACAGGAAACCAGTGTGGGGGGAGGCTGGGGGAGCTGGCTGGACGGGCTGGCAGGACCCCAAGGCCACAGGGAAAGGAATCTGGGACAGGGTGGGGGCTGTGGGGGAGACACGCTGTTCCCTGACAGAGGGTGCGGGTTTGGCCATGTGTCACACGTGTCAGGGGCTCAGCCCCGGCACAGACGAGGTAGGGGAGGCGGGCGGGGACTGGGGGCAGTTCCCGTGTGCGAGCACCATGTCTGCAGGCCTCCGAGCTCTGCCCAGAACCCTGAGCAGCAGGGCCATGTTGAGACTTCCGAACCAGGGAGACTGAGGCTCAGAGACCCCCGCTCTGAGTGTGGAGCCAAGACCCCACACACGAATTCACACACACGCACAGACACACTCACTCTCACACACTCACTCAGACTCACACACATACACCTACACACTCACCCCGCTGTGTCTTACCCTCACCACTGTTCTTTCCACTACTTCTACGGCACCAGGCATATAGAAGGCTCCGGAAATGTTTGTACAGTGAACGAAGGAATGAATGACGATGTCGCCTCCTCCGTCCTGTGCTCTGGGCCCAGCGCAAGGCCCTCTTTCGCCTGCTCTTTCGCCTGCTCTGGGAGACAGGATAGGGTAGAAATCTCGAAACAGGGCTGTGGACTCAGGCCCAGCCACTTGGTGGGCGAACGCCATCCCCTCTCCGTGCCTCGGTTTCCTCCCTGTGAGATGGGGATGAGAGCTGCCGCCTCCCGGGTGGTTGTGCAGGTTCCGTGAGCTCAGGTCGGCCTAGTGCTTACGGGAGCTGTGACAGTCCGCGTGTGTGACCAGCATCGCTCCGCTGAGAGCAGCTCAGGGCTGAGGTTCCCCTGGGGGTGCCTCTACCGGAGGATTGAGAAATGCTCGCCGCGCTGGCTCACAGGCTTCTGACCCTGGGCCCTGTTGACGCATGAGGGGCGCCGAGACCCACAGCAGCCCCAGCCTTGGCCCGTTTTGGGTTCCGTTCAGCTTTGGTTTGCTCCATGCTAGGCCGTGGATTGCGTAATCTTAGGGGAAGAAGAGGTCTGAGGTTGTCGGGCTGTTCCCAGTGGAGTCCCGATCGTCAGACGAGGTGGGCCGGGAGCCTCTCCTCCTGGTCCTCAGGCCTCCCCTGCTGGCTCTGTCCACTGTCTCCTTGACGGCTCGTGGGAGGGGAGAGTGGGTGGCCGGCTCTGGCCTGGGGTGTCCTGGAGGGAGGGGGTGAGGGGCAGGGGAGGGAGAGGCAGCCGGTCAGCCCCGGGACGGAGGTCGCTGCTTTCCCAGCCCCCTGCGAGTCTCGGACATCTGTTCCAAATCCCCGAGTCGCTAAGCTGAGCCTTCCTGTCTGGGATGAAAGGCAGCAGCGGGGGCCGGCAGCTCCTAGCCCTCCGCCAGTCCCAGGGAAGCGGGCGGGCTGGAACCTGGGGGTGGTGGGGGTGGGGGGGAGGTGGATGGTCATCAGGGGAACAGACACTATGGGGGGCTCTCACCACATGCTTAGAACCCCACTGAATCGCCACCCCAACCCAGCACGATTGGTTCTTTTATAGACAGGGAAACTGAGCTTCTGTGGATGAAATCAGTTGCCCAGGGTCACGTGGCCAATAGACAGCGGACCCTGGGCCCCTCTGCCAGAATGCGCTGCACTTGGGAATGAGAAGCGTCCAGGTGAGGCCAGTCTGAGTCTTGACTTCTTGCCAGTGTAGGGGGAATCTCCCTTTTTGCTTGTACGTTTTCTTAGATTTCTGAGAATCTCCTGGAACCACAGAAAGACCTTCCAGTCCCCGAGAAGATGAGTTTGAGCCCCTGAGCAAGGAGGAAGTTGCAGGAATAAGGTGGGGGGGCTCCTGCCTGCCCCCCCTCCAGTCTCCGGCCCCGACTGCCCGTGTGCAGGCTGGTTTCTCCGTGCATCCATTCTGTCTGCCTGGGCCGTGCTGGGGGAGGTGAGGCCTGCAGGAGACGGGCTGGGCCCAGGAATGACGCGAAGGAGAATTTGTGCTCCAGGGACACACACGGGTAAAGGGACCTCGCTGAGATCTGAAGGGTGGCAAGAGTTGTCCAAAGAGCAAAGGACCCTCCAGGTCAAGGGGACAGCACAGGGGAGGCAGTGTTCTTGGATGCGCACGCCCAGGACAGCCGGAGTGGAGGGGATGAGAAGACGAGGGTGGGTGGTGGGGGCTGGATGTGAGGAGGACCCCACTGGCCCCGGAGGAGCCCCGAGCCAGCTGGTCTCCTGAGCTTTGGCGCCATTGCGTCTTCCTGTCGAGTGGGTGGCGTGTTTGCATTGGCCGGGGCCAGTGCCAGGCCCAGCGCAGGGCCCCAGCCCTCCTCTTTTCTCCCTGGGGGTTCCAGCTGGAACGCAGGGCCCCAGGCAGGCCAGGGGGTCAAGGCAGCGGCCCTGCTCAGCCTCCGCCCGCAGGAGCAGCCCCGGCCCGGCCCTGGGCCCAGCTGGCCCTCCCTGGGCTTCCCAGGACCGACCAGGAGGTGCAGGGGTGGGGGCTCCCAAAGCCAGGAAGGATGCAGGCAGCCTTCCATCGTCCCGACCCCACCTCCACTCTGGCACAGCCACGTGCGCCCTGACTCCTCTCTTTCCCCCGGTCTCTGCCCTTGCTGTTGCCTCTGCCTGCATACTTTCTCTTCCTGCCTTTTTCTGGATAACCCACATCTTATTCGTGCACAAAACAGCTAAACACCTGCTGTGTGCCAGTCCCCGTGCCGGGCCCTGGGGACGCAGCAGTAGACAAGATTCTGACATATGCTGTGTACCCCGCTCAGCTGAGAGGTCCCCTCCTCCGGGAAGCCCCCCACCCCCCAGCATTGGGCAGACGGCCTGCCCATGGGTTCTTGTGGCCCCTCGCCCTTCCCCCGTCAGTCTGGCTGGTGCTGCCTTGAGGGTTTGGTTTGTTTGCATCCTTCACAGCCCTGGCTGCAGAGGGAATGCCCGTTTTCACAGCTGTGCCCCCGAACCCAGCACCAGGCCCCTGCCTGGTAAATGTGGGTGGGGCGAGTGCACGGAATGGCGGCTAACGTTGGGTCATGCGCTTGCGGCACGCCCGGGACTGTTGTAAGTGCTTCGCAGGCGTTTACTCATTAAGCCTGTTGTTGTTATGCCCCTTTTGCAAATAGGGAAACTGAGGCACTCCATTCAAGTCGCTTGCCCAGTTAACCCAAGAGAGGTTAGGTGTTTTGCCCAAGGCCGCAGAGCCATTAAGTGGTGGAGCTGGGGTATGTGAACCCCAGCACATCATAGCTATACCGTATTTCCTCACTGGGAACAAGGGAAGGAGTGAGCGCATGCATGAATGAATGACTCCCCAGCCTTCCAGATGCATCTGAAGCCGTGGGCCCCAGCCTTCCTCCTGGCCCTGCCCCGCTCCTGCTCCCGCCGGGCTCCTGTGACTTGACCCGCCTCCTTCCCCTCCTCCCCCTCCTCTTCGTGCCAGCCTTGCACCAGGGCACCGTCTCCCCACCTCACGCCCCCGGCTTTGCCAGTCGGGATTGCGGTGGACATTTGGGACTCCAACTGCACCTCTCGTCCAGTCTCCCACCTG